TCGAGCTTAATGGAAATAGCTCTATTGTCGAAAATTATGACTATACATTTTCCATATGATCAATACATGCCAATTACTTTCTTAAAACCCATGTCCAAGCGTGCCCATATTTTTTAGAGAAAATGACAAAAATAGTTATTTACACTAATAGCATTACAAAAATAGTCAAAAAAAAATCGAAATTACAAAATTAGCCAACGATTTTACAGATGGAGATGCCCCATCTGCGAAAATGAGCATCTCATCTGTGAATGTACAAGCACCTAAAGCACAATTGTGCTTTAGGTGCTTGTACATTCGCAGGTGCTTTTATTTTTTTTATTTTTTTCTGTATATATAGGGGTAAAATCACAGATGGAATAGGTCCATCTGCGATTTACTCTCACTCTATCTGCGAAATTGTGGTTTTTTTTGTATTTTTTTTTTAGTTTGATTATGAAATGAATTGGTTTGACTACAAAATCATGTTGCTATATAAAAAGTTTTGTAGATTGTTTTACTTTCTCAGTCAAACCAATTCATTTCGTAGTCTAACTAAAAAAAAATACAAAAAAAAAAAAAAAGAAAAAAAAAAAAGAAAAAACACAATTTCGCAGATAGAGTGAGAGTAAATCGCAGATGGACCTATTCCATCTGCGATTTTACCCCTATATATACAGGGGGGGAAAAAAAAGCAGGAGCGAATGTACAAACACCTAAAGCACAGCTGTGCTTTAGGTGCTTGTACATTCACAGATGAGATGCTCATTTCGCAGATGGGGCATCTCCATCTGCGAAATCGTTGGTTAATTTTGCAATTTCGATTTTTTTTTGCTATTTTTGTAATATCAGTAGTGTAAATAGCTATTTTTGTCATTTTCTCTATTTTTTATTCTTCGTCTAAATGCTAAAGGGATGATTTGGTAATTTCTATCAACATAAACTCCAATAAACTAAGTGTTTAAGTGCTTCTCTTTAAATAAACACCGTTTATAATGATCAACGGACGCAACTGATTTTTGAACGTGTAAATTTACTTACAATTGATAGAGGTTATAGTTACTGCGTTAAAAGCTTCTAATAATAAATAAATAAATAATTGTAAAAAATATAAATAAGAGAAAATAGTTTGTGTACAAAAGTCAGTTGCAAAATACCATATATTAGGGGAACCAGATTTATAAAACTACTCTAGTAGAAATAAACTTTTTTTTAAAGGTGCAATGAGATAGCCAAATCCAATAACCAAAGAGCATAAAACCTTTCATTTGGGAGTGTGGTTCACACGTTGGTCTCTTGTCCGCCCCTATGCCCACTTCTTCTTTTAGCAATAATTCCAACTTATCTATAGAAAAATTATAAGATTTTATTTAAAATATGTATACATGTCTAGATAGACTTTAATTTCAAATTTTCAACTTGATATAAAAATAGCTGCTCTTTAAATATGAAACAAAAAGGATTTTGTGTTTAGTTTCTAATTTTAGAAACTTATAGTAAAGTTTTTAGTTAAATAAAATTTGAGTTTAAAGTAATTGAATTTGACCTCAAAAAAAATGGATAAACTGAATGTGATATAAACGTATTTCGTCAAATATATATTTTGTGAAATATACTTTCTAGATTAATATTTATAGATTTATCGTATAAATTTGTATTAAAGAATTTAGATTTTTATTAATGTTATCATTTTAAATTTTTGTAGTTACAAGTTGTGTGAAGTAGCTTTTGAGCCACTCACTGGAAAATTCTGTTACAAGTTGGAAACCGCAAGTAAGCGAAGCAACAACATCAGTTATTTTATCTTTTAGTTCAAATGCTTTTTAAATAAAATAAATAAAAATTGCACTTTAAATACTTTGGTTATAAAATTAATAAAAAATAAAGTTTAATAACTATATATCTATATACCAATCAGCTTTTCTGTAATTTATGTTATATTAACTTACACAAAACATCTAATATTTTTAACAAGTGTTTTCTTCTTAAAAATTTCTACTATTTGCGGCCAATTTACGGTAAATTTCTAAATTATTATCTTTAAACAGAAAAACAAATAATTTATTTATTTTAACCTTTTTCAACATTTTCAGTAGACAACCAAGCCACATGACACGTTAAGATGGACGAATTGTTGACGCAAAATCTCGCGTTAGTGTTTTTCCACATGTTTTCTCTCTCAAAATTAGTTTTTTCAGATAAAGGATAGACACCGATATATCAGCAATCCGTCCAGTTTGGCCAGGTGGCTTGGTAACCTACTTGAAAATGTTAAAAATGATCAAAGTGAATAAATTATTCGGTATTTATGCTTAAAAAAAATTATGATTTTATTGTTAGCTTAAAATAATAAGATTTTTCTGTTGAAAAAAAACATTTTCAATAACTTGTGTTACTATTTTCCCATTGTATTTTCATTTCAAACAATTATTGGTGTTAGTTAAGTGAAACTTTTATGTTTTATATAGATAGAGTTTAATATTTTTTATTTATTTAACCATGAATACTTATATTATTCATAACGTGTAAATATGTATTTCTCTATCTTCCATCATCTCTCACTATCAGTTGATAAAATCGTTGCAATCAATATTTAGATTATGTTTTAACTCAAGGTTTTTTAATAAAATTATACAAACTATTATTTAAATAGTTACTAAATATAATTTATAAAAATATACAGAGTGTATTTTAAAAAGTCAACAATTCGATATGGTGTTCGAGTAGATCACTAACTGCAACTAATAATTATGGGAATAGAAAAATGGGTCAACGGGAGTGGAGCTCCAATCGGGTGAAATCCCACGTTATCTTTAATAACAAATAAATAAATACATAAAAAAAAGAAAGATAACACTAGGCATAATGATTAATGAAAAACTAAATCTGGTATAAGGTGTCTTATAAAGTAACAATCTATAATAATCCGGTAATTTGAAGTTTTTAACATCATGTTTTGTACTGTTTTAGCCTAATACCAAATACTATCTTAAAAAGTTCAAGAAACCAAAAACTTATCCCGATATTTTATGGAATTAATCGCCAACTTTGCAACATTATACCAATTCTCAATGATTTTACAAACAAACATGAATGATTGTTAGTACTTATGGTTGAATATTGATGCGATAATTATGAATCTTTAGGGACACTTAATATGCAAATCCACTCAAAGTGCATCATCTTCTTTAAAGAAAGTATTGCTAAAAATAGGGTATGGTGTAAGCCACCTTTAGAAACTTCATATGACAAAAAGGGTGTGTTTTCCTCTTCACTATACTAAATTAGATAACCCAATTTTCGGGTTTGTGAACGTATTTGTCGTTTAGAAACGAAAGCTTTTGTGGTCAGTTTTTTTTAAAAGACAACTATAAGAATATTTTTAGTGGAAACTTATTTTATTTTGTAATTATTTGAAATTACCAATTAGCAAACTTGTTATCATTGAAGTGTATAGAAAATATATCACAATTATTTATTGTAAAAACAATCAAAATACCGAAAATATATAATATTAATAAACACGATGATCATATTATAATATAATTGTTTTTTTTTTCTAAGTACATAAGCTTAAAATAAAGTTAATACCTATTATATCATATATGACTTGTATTTAGAACTGATAAAATTAAATAAGGCTATTTATAGAATAATATGAATAGTCTGGAATCTGGATAAATATTTAACTTTTACGGAAAATGGCTATAATAAAAGGCTTTTTTCACTGAAAAATAATTTTGATGATAATTTTGTTAGATAAACTCAGTGAAAAGTTTATATGACAAAAAATAATAAATCATTGTTCATGTCGACCTTCATATATGCTCTAACAAAAGGCATAATAACATTAATTTTACTACTTTAAAACAACCAAGAAACAAATCATAACTTAAATTTAAATAAATAAATAAAAGTCACAACATTAAATTGGTGCAAAAGAAACCATGAATAGTAGTTTGAGTAGGGAGTAATTGTGTAACAAATGAATGGACCAAAAACAGGATCAAAAGTGTCCATCACTACTAATCACACCCAACCCTAACCCTAACTTCATTCACACCCAATCCTTTGCCTAACCACTCTTCTACCTCACACTCAAAATACATAATTGTTCGGTTTTCTTTGATTCTTTTTGAGAAAATTGTCCTATTATATTTCCATTCAAAACTAACAAGGACATAATTAGAATCCTAGTAATATTCGTAGTACAAAACCAGTCTCACAACGTATGAAGTGGGAAACAAAACTTTCTTATTAGGTTGTAAATATTTGTCAAATGGGGAACAAAACTTTTTGGTTAGAGTCCAAAACTCATTCCAAAACACTTCTAAAACTACAAGGATAACATATCTTATCAAAACTCGACACTTAATCATGCTAGAGCATAAAAAAATAATAAAATAAAAACAATCAAAGCAGTTATCATGATGGATGACCTCTAAGAAGTAAGGATAAATATATGAACCGAAAAAACTGAACCGAACCAAGACCATATACACATATTTGGTTCAGTCTTTAGTTTGTAAAGAAATATTAATTTAGTTTTCGATCCACTCTCTAAAGCACACCCTACTTGTGATCCTAAAAACCCGACCCAAACCAGGACCATATATACATATTTGGTTTGGTCTTCAGTTTATACGAAATGCTCATTCAATTCGGTCAAATTTAAGAACGCAGTTCAGTCTGTGGACCACATACATCCCTACCGGTAAATCTTTATAATTGTTTTGCCAAAACAAATAATATGTTTGTATGCGCGTCTGAAGATGTTACATCAGGTAGAGCACAAACAAAACAATATTAGTAAGGCGGTGTCTATATCTTATTTTAAAACACGTTTTAAAGTTGTGAGTACAACAGATCCATCAAAACTCCACAGTTAAACATAATAAGGTGTTGTCTATATCTCATTTCAAAATGCGTTTCAAAGTTGTGAGTACAACAGATCCTATCAGAACTCCACAATTAAACATAGTAATGTGTTGTCTACATCTCATTTCAAAACACATTTCAAAGCTGTGAGTACAACAGATCCCAACAGAATTCCCCAGTTAAACATGCACAAGCAAATGCAAAGGCAAAAGCAGCAATATAAAGATGAGCTATCCTCATGGGAAATTGTCTAACCACTAACCACATATTCTATTTTGATTATGCACCATAACAATATTGTCGGGGATTTTGTGAACAAAAGGAACGAATACTAAGTAGTGTGATTATAGAAGCACAAGTAAAACTAGTTGAATAATACGATAATCAAACTCACAAGTAATTCAAAGAGCAAGATATTGTTTTACATGTTTCACCAAGTGTTTACAAAAGCCTCATTGATTATTGGCTAAATACAATATGAGAATAGTTCAACTTTGGTTCTTAAAATGCAAAAAAGCATTAACCTCTATGCGACTTAATGGGTTCAGCACAACTTCATATTGGTGTCAATCCAACCACACCTACACAAAGGTACAAAAAAAATTGTTTTTAGTTAAGATAATTCAGAATTCACATAATAAAGTAAATATACTAAACGTGGTCTTAACTACAATTAGCTTAAACCAATAAGAACTTAGGTGTCATTTTGTTTTTACTAAATTGTCTGAATGGGAATAAATGACCATTTTACCCTTACATTCCAAAAAACAAATTTCACAATATTCATCAATTTTAACATGAGATGGGTTGGGAGAAAAAAAGAATGGAATATAGGTAAAATGTTAGTGTCTTAATAAATTAAGCCATGTCTTTTGGCTTAACCCATTAAGTCAATTTGTCAGGATTAAGTCAAAAAGAAACAAACATGTTACAATTGTCAAGTTTAAGTGCTAAGTCCATTAAGCTCATTAAGTCAAAAAGAAGCAGCCTTGTTTCTATTTATTTAATCAAAAAAGAATGACTTGATTATAATTTATAATTACTCATTATACTTATTTATTTTTAAGAATCTATATCACTATTTATACTAAACACATTTTGTTCAAGTACTTATTAGATTTATAAATTTTTATATCAAATATATTTAAGAATCTTATATCATGATTCACACCGGATACTTTATATTTAACTATTACATAAATTTATAACCTTTTTTCATTTAGAATATAAATTGAAAACAGTTTTGAAACAAGCATTCGTTTTCATTCCACACCAAAGGGTAAAATGGTCATTGGATGTCATTCTTCATGCCACACCAACTACAAAGCAATCTTTTCTCACACTTTTACATTTTTCGTTTTTCCTTTTTGCATCATAATTCATCAACTATTTTAAAACCAATAATAAATAAATTTGAAATCAAGTATGAAAGCAGTGTATATATGTATAATACTATAATTAATTAGTTATCTTACCACAAGCAAGTCTTCCACCTGCATTTCCAGTAGAGAGGCTAAGTTCATGACCACCTATATTAAAAAAACAATACAACCCATTAATTAAAAAAACATATAACATTCATATTTTATAAAAAAAAGTACAAAAAATATAAACTTTACCCTTTCCAAGATCATCTGCAAGTTCATGAACCACTAATGCTCTTCCAACTACAGCATTAGGACCAGTCAATGGTATCTGAAAATTAACATCAATAAAATGTTAACAAGAAAATATAAAAATTAGATCAAATTTTATTAAAATCCAAACCTGATCATCTACAATTGTAGCTTCAGCCACACCTGGATTACATTTAACAAAATTATAAGGAAAAAACAATCAAATATTTTTTTCTAAAAAGAAAAAAAAAATGATTGTAGTAAAATACCATCGGCATTGGCAATTATGTTTCCCAGGTCACCCGCATGACGGATTTTATCTTCAGGAGCACCATGTGTATGCCCATTAGGGTTGAAATGTGGTCCTGATATTAAAAGATAAAACTTAAATAAATCTTTTATTACATGAACCCTAAAAAAGGTGGATTATAATGCAATCTGAATTAAGAGTTCAAACCTGTTGATATGCACCCATTTGTGGTATCACCAAACTCATGCTATATGTTAACAAGAACACAAAAGTATCAGAAATTAATCATGTATAATGAACTTATGAACATAAAACACATTATGATAAAATAGGATGAATACTTACTAGATGAAATCCATGGGGTCCTGGAGTCAATCCAGTAATTTTGACATTGACAGTTGTTGGACCTGTGTTAATTACAAGAAATCAGACTTAAAACATCGATATAAGCATAAACTAAGGCTTGAGAAACTGCAAAATGGATAACTAGGTTCGTAAATGAAGTCAAAGCTATACTTTTAGTTTGTCAAATTTGATGTGGGTGTTACTAATTTAAGACCAACATTCAATCCAGCTAATTTTGAAGTTAAGATCGAAGTGTTCTTGAAATATTTGAGAAAGAATTGGTAACTAGGTCGAAATTTGGGGACAGTTTTCTGCAAATAGACTAATGCCAGTTTCAAATGCAACAAAACTGATACAAATCGCATTTGAAAAGTATTGGGTGACTGAAATTTGAAGTGCAGCTGAGATAAATTAAGTAACTAAATCAAAGGGATTGCTTAATGGTGGATAGGTGGGAGAGATAGATACCGCTGTCTTCTTGAGTGAGAGTAACAACGCCTTCGACACTGGAGGTGCCCTTGAGGACGGCGACGGCTTTCTTGACGGCGGCAACGACAGTAAGGGGTTTAGGAGCGGTGGCGGAGAGTATCAGGGATTGACGGGCGATTGAGGGTTTAAGGGAGACACCATGGAAAGAAGATTGAAGTGAGATAGTGTTAGGGTTTGAGATGGGGAAAACGAGGGAGTTAGAGGCGGCGGGAGAAGAGAAGAGGATAGAGTGAGCAGCCATAGCTGCAAGTGCAGCTTGCATTCAGTGGTGGGTAGTGATGAATCTGAGATAAAACGATAATGTTTGTGAGAAGAAATGGGAGGCATATCTGATGTCTTTGTTGTTCTTGTTGGCTGTGTTTCGGATCTTGTCGGGTTGAATTCGGGTAGAACCGTTGACACTGACCTTCAAATGAGAAAACGGCCAATTCGATCAAAATTATTTGAAGAAGAATCTAGATTCGTTTATTATTCATCCCACAAAGTTTTAATTTATATTTGTTAAATTTGGTATATATTAGGGGTGTTCATGGTCCGGTTTGAAACCGTGAAACCGGCCAAACCGGTCATCGGTTTGGTTTTATGGTTTGTATTTTTCTTTACGGTTTGGCTTGTGGTTTTGAACTTTTCAAACCGTATTGAACGGTTTGGCTTACGGTTTTTAAGATTTCAATCCGTATAAAAACCAGACCGGACCGTAGGATTTGTATATATATTAATTATTTTTTTTATATATAATTAATTTTTATTGTATTATATATTAATTTTTATATATAAATAATAAATTTAAAAACCCACATTATATTGAATTATTACAGCCCAATATTGAACTGGGCCAGTAGTCCACCTCCAGGCTCCAACTCCAAACAATCGAGACATCGAGTAATCGCAAAGAGCCAAATACGCAGACACGGTTTCCACTTTCCAGTTGCCACACTAGTGCACCACTTGTTTTCCCTCCGAGGCTCCGACTTGCAGGCCAACAGCTCGTCGCCTACCCTGCAGCAGCTCCGATTCTACCTCTCATTTCTTTATCGTTGGGTGTTGGCTACTTGGCTGGATTGTTACTCCGATAAGGTATGTTGTGTTCTTAATCAATTGAAGTGATTTATTTATCATCTATCTACACCTGATTTCTATCCATCCATCATCTCTCCTATCATTGTGCATTTGATTTTTTTTAACAGAAGCCAAGATCGGATGAAACAAAAGTATAAAGTAGTTGCTAATTGCTTGGCTCCGACTACAGGCCTCCCCTGCAGCTCCGATTGTTGCTCCGATAAGGTCCGTTTGACGATTCTAGCTCCGATAGTGCGTTTGATTTTTTTAACAGTAGAAAACATCGGATGAAACCTTTTAATTTTTTATTTCTTTCTAAAACCTGTTGCTAACTGCTAAGTCTCATCATCTCTTAATCTTTTCTTTCAGGTCCTTACATGTGCGTTTGATTTTTTTTAACAGAAGCAAACATAGGACGAAACTTATTGATTTTTTATTTGTTTCTAAACCTGTTGCTAACTTCTAAAGCTCATCATCTCTTAATCTGATTTCAGTGAGTACACAATTCTGAATTTTGCTTGCACTTTTTTCTTTCAGGTTCTTACATGGATAAAGATAACATCAATATTCCAAGTAGCGAACCTGTTAACATCATTGATGCTGATGATGATATGGAAGAGATTGATGTAGATGATGATGTTCATGTGGAGCAAAATGGAGGTGCTACTAATAAGAACCAAGGAAGGGGACGAAAACAGTCTATTGTTTGGAAACACTTCAACAAACCAGATCCAGTTCCACCTGAAGGAGCACGCACCGCATGTATTCACTGCAAGACAAGGTATGTGTATGAACCAAGTCAGAATGGTACTAGTGCTATGTTAAACCATTTGAGAAAGTTATGCAAGTTTGATCCACTTAAATGTCAAGTAGATAAAAAAACAAACAACTATAAATTTTGTTGGAAAGGGTACGGATGGAAAGTTACAATGTGGTCGTTTTACAAAGGAATTGGGTAAACAAGCTCTTGCTAAAATGATTATTATTGTAACGCCCGCAAATCCGGGCTAGTCAAATTAGAGACAATAGGAGTCGAAAACGACTTTTCGACAAAAGATTATTTAGAATAAATAATCTTAACCAAGTTGTGGAATATGTCTCAAGGTTTCCGTACATATAAAGAATGCCAAAATCCGAGCTATAACGAAGAAGTTATGGTCCGTCGAAGTTTCGCGACAAAACCGGTACGATACCGGAAAGCGTAAATAGTGAATTTACGATAGAGCGAGATTTAGCCTTAGCATTCTAAACAAAAGTCGTAGAATATGTTAAACTAAGAACATCGATAAAAAGAACGCCCAAATCTGACTTCGTATGAAGAAGTTATGATTTTTCGAAGTTTCGGACTAGCAGTGTACAACCCGAAATTCGAATATTAGATCGAGCGGGTTTTAGCCGACACGACCCGAACGAGAATCGAAGATCTTGTTAAGAGTAGCGTAACAAGAAAAATATGGGCGAAAACGGATGTCGGATGAAGAAGTTATGAGGATTTAACGGACCAATCGTGTCCCGGCCCGTTAATAATATAAAATTTAAAATCGAGCCAAAATTAACCGACGAGGTCTAAACGAAAGTTGTAGAGTAGGTTCCCACCTTCGTGTGGATATAAAGAACGTCGAAAACAGAGCTTGTATGCAAAAGTTACGAATTTTTAAAGTTGAAGCATGAAAATGCGAAGTCTGTGCGAGATTGATGACGTGGCGCAATCTCAGCCGTCGCTTGCGGCCCACGGTCTCGCTCGGATAAGCGACACATCGCTCCTCGCTACGCCCAGCGTTCGGTTTCGTGCGCGCCGCGTCCGCTCGCTCTCGGTCCAGAAGGCGCCACGACGACTCGCCTGACGCCCCGCGTACGAGGGTCGGTACGCCCCGCGTACCCTCGCTTCCCATTAACCGGTGTGCGAAACAGCTGGCTGCGAGCTGGCTTCCTCATCCGCGAAGAACGCGCCGCGTAGCCGAGGATTACGCCCCGCGTAAGACCGAGGCTCGCAGGCTATAAATAGGGGCGAAGGTCTCCGGATTTTTCACACCATTTCTCATTCTCTCTCTAAAATCTTTCTCTCTCTAAGGTTTTGAAGCCTCCCTATGGTCTAGGTGAACCCCTAGCACCCTAAGGAAGCCCCGAGGCTCCCGAAGTCCCGAGAAAAAGGAGTTTTTCGGTTTCGAAACGCTGCTCCAATTAAGTTCCGGTTTTCGATAAAATTCGCTGTAAGTATGCTACACTTACGCAATCTTTAATATAGCTTCCAAATAATTATAGGAATGTTATTAGGTCCTTAAAATAATTATTTGGGCTATTATTATGAGTTATAATGAGCATTATTAACGCTTAATAATAGTCAAACTGATTAATGAGTCGCGGTTATCGTTAAACTAAACCCTAGTTGTATCGGTACTAGGTTTTATCGAAGGAACATCGTTTTGAGAGTATCGAAGCGATGTCCGAGTGTTGAGTCACCACCTAATCAGGTGAGTACATGGTCCCTTTCATCTTACACATAGATATGAAGTATTTTAATATAAATTACGTGCTATGTGTACATATTGTCTGAATACTTGTTGTCTATGCTGGATGAATGATTTATACATGTTTTAAATGATTTAAACTGTATATTTATTTTATATCTACAAATATGTTGGGATAAAACATGGGTAGATGAAATAGTTGGTGAGTGATGAAATAAAATAATGAGAGATAGGTGATGATAGGAAGGTGATGATAGATAGGTGATTATGAATCGGTGATGTAGGATACTAAAACCTTGTCCGACAATTTGGAGATGTAGTCATCTACCAGAGTATAGATGGCGACCGCAGACTATTAGTAACCCGTAGGTGATGAATTACGAGTCCAGGCGATGTTGTGGCTACGTATTCATGCGATGATAGTCTAACCCTAATTATGAATTACGAGTTCAGGCGATGTTGTGGCTACGTATTCATGCGATGATAGTCTAACCCATATTATGAATTACGAGTCCAGGCGATGTTGTGGCTACGTATTCATGCGATGATAGTCTAACCCATATTATGAATTACGAGTCCAGGCGATGTTGTGGCTACGTATTCATGAGATGATAGACTAACCCTTATCATGATTTACAAGTCCAGGTGATGTTTTGGCTGTGTAATCATGCGATGATACCCTAAATCTTGCTAGACACATATAGAGGGAGTAATCCCCGGAATAGTATTGTCTATGCAATGTAGGCGATGATCCTTAGGTAAAGTTCGTAGGAACAATCATATAAGGAAATACGATGTAAGGAGATGAGAAGTAAATATGATATAGGAGATGACCCTTGAGATAATATCTTTAGGGAAGACTAAAAGAAGATAATGGGGATGGGTAATTGGGTTGATTGTTTGATTGTTTAAACATAATAACTATATTATTGTGGGTTGAAAACCCTATGTACTCACCAGGTTTCCCAACCTGACCCACTCAGTTTATGTATATTACAGGTGACGAAATGAAGTGACTTTACACTGAGAGATTTAAAGAGATATAGATCACTAGTGTAAATCATTGTAAGTTCTGTTTATGCTTATGTTTCGGTATTAACGATGACATCCCAAACGTTTAAAAATGAAATAAATACGTTTCCTCGAAAATGTTTTAATAACGTATTTACCATGTTTTTCTGGGAACAAATTCCGCAACCTTTTTATAAAATGAAGTACTCTGATTTTCATAAAGCATAAACAAAATCGGTCTTTTCTGGCCGTGATTTTGGGGATGTCACAGTTGGTATCAGAGCATTAGTTTAAGCGAACTAGGAATATGGATTTATTTCTAGACTTAAACTTAGAATGCTAGGCGATGATTGTGAGGTGTGAGCACTAGCTTATTTTAGGAATGATGCCTAAATTGCTTTTATGTGCTAAATGATTAGTTATGCTATAGTTTGATCGGATCTATGGTCTATTGCCGACCGGATCTGGAAACCTTATGTGTTTAGGATTCTAAACGTACGACTACGATATTAGAACTAGCATATAAACGTTTCGGAGTGATAAGGATGATTTAACCGTCAATCCTAAGTAAAGATCTAGATTCACCTTATTCGGTGTATAGATCAAGATGGCAAGAACCCGCAGCGGGAACGCGAATGCAAATAGGAATAGAAACCGACCCCCAGTGATTGAGCAAATACCGGTGATGGAGGCCGCTGCTGAGCCAGTCTCGATGGCCGGAGTGCAAGCGATGATCCAAGCGATGTTGGATCGTCAAATGGAGGAAACTAGGCGTTTGCTCCAGCAAAATCGAGAGGAAGCGACCGTTCAGATCGAACAACCCGAGTTGAACGAAGGGCAGACTGAGGAGGGAAACTGCAGTGGGACTGTTGGTCAAGCCAACCCACCAATAGTTAGGCAAAACCATCAGGATGGAGGAAATGATGGACGTG